CTGTCCTTTCTTGCTGGAAGGCCCTGCAGCCACTGACCGAACTCAAGAAGGGGGCAGCAGTGCAATCCTGGGAAAGGAAGTGCATGCGGTATCAGTGTCCCCTTCAATGCTCGGTGTACTTAAAACGGTTGCACTTTTGGAGAAAACATGAGCCAGGGCGCACTGGCTCGGAGGCGGGCGCTCAAGTGCTGGGTGGCTTTGGCTGAGGCCGGTGCGGTTTGTGGGCAGCGCCGGGCGGGGCGGAGCGGGGCCGGTCACATGCTGGTTATTGCCACTTGCTCCCCTGCCCCGTTCACGCTCTGGCTCCCTCTGCCCTGACTGTGTGTGGCCCAGGAGATGCACCTCTAGGGATGGTTTCACCAAGCTTCCTTTCCTGGACGGCTCCTTGGCGCTTCCTCCTGATGGGGGCACCTGCAGGGGACGGAGGATGAGAGGCTGGGGACTGGCTGGGGAACACTTGCCGTCCCTTTGCCCCTGCAGTCCTAGAGGTGGTAGCAGCTCCCCGCATTTGTGCTCCCTGGTGCCTCCCCCCCCCCCCCAGCTTCCTTTCATCCTGCCTACCCTTGTGTAAATAGTCTCCTCATTACATTTTTTTTTCAGTTGAACACTTTGGAGTGTGCCATCTGTTTCCTGGCTGACACCGTCACTAACCCTTCTTTTCATTGAGGCTTAAAATAAGTTGGTGATGCCTGTCTACCCAGATTTAGTAGCCAACACCTGCAGCTTGTGGGCTGAGCAGGCGAATGAGCCCCTCCTGCCAGGGTCCCGACTGGTGACCCTGTACCTTTCAGACTTTCTATTGGAGTCCTTATCTATTCATCACTTTGTTTCCCTGGCCTGAGTGTGTGCTTTGAAGTGAAGTAGGAATAGCAAAAATCTAGAAAGCTATGGGATAGAGTGTTTTAGCTGTGTGATCTCAACAATTGCTTAACCTCCTTGTGCCTCAGTTTTCCTCATCCTTAAAATGGACATAAGAATAGCACTACCTTATCTTATAGGGTTATCATGAGAGTTAACTACATTTAAGTGTGTAAGGCACACAGCATAGGACAAGGCACATAGTAAATGCTCAATAAATGATAGCTATGAATATTATTTTAGCAGAGGAAGGATTTTACTTGGAAGTACATGGAAAGGTTAGAATTCCAGCTCTGCCGTTGAGTAGTTGTGTGACTTTGAAACGGACGGAGAGCTGGGGTGGTGCAGGGTGGGGAGGGGGCTGCAGAGGTGCTGCTGGTTACCTGAAGGGCCTGGCCCAGGAGGTCATTGGTGGCTCAGCTGAGTGGGACGAGAGTCTCAGTGGAAGCCCAAGGCTGTCACCTGGGCCTCCTTCTCTACGAGCCAATGTTTTAGATGCTGCTGGGTCAGTAGATCCTGCTCCTCTCTCCCCAGAGTGGCCCCGCCTGCACAAAGGCACAGAATGAAGGCTGCCGCTGTCGTGTCTCACTCCAGGCTACAGCCAACCGTCTGCAATACGCCCTGTCCTCCTGGCCCTGGGTGGCTTCAGGGGAACCTCGCTGGCTCCGCTGCTCTGTGTGCTGCTCGCTTCTCACAGCGTGGCTGCAGCCCTCCGGACGCTCCGAGCCCACGGCCCTCCCCGAGCCCGGCCTGTCGCCAATGCTGCCACTGGCAAAGGACCAGAGGCTATTTCCGAGGCTCTCCAGGCATCTGCCTCCTCAGGGCCATTGTGCCAGCGTGTTAGTGACCCAAATACATATTTTTCTTCATCTCTGGGTTCTCCTCCTGCTGCCTCCTTTTTTTTCTGGCCAGCATACTCTTCTGTGACTTTCTCTTGATTGGCATGGGGCAATGGGCTGTTTCCACGCCCCTCTTTGGGTATTTTTAGAAGCTGACCCACTCCTCCTTCCCAGAATGGTTTGTTTTTGTTTCTGTCCGTTGGTAGAGACACCTGCAGGGCACTGCTCATCATCTGCCTGGGCTGCTCATCACACGCCATTTCAGACAGGCGGCCGTTGGGGCCGGAGGGCCCGGCGTGCGGGCAGCCTTCTCCTGCAGGCTGGCGTGGGACACCGGCTCTTGCCTGGCCCGGCCCACCCCTCTCAGAACAACAGTCATAGTGTGGAATAGTGGACCGAAGTGTTAAATCAGGGCACACAAGGATTCTCCACCGAACAACTCACCCGCTCTGATTTCCTCTTCCGCTTAGAAACAACTCTGCTCAGTCCCATCTTTCAAGCCCACTCCGACACCCCCTATGAATTATTTGGGGCACGGAGCAGATAGAAGCGTCTTCCTCTCTGTCCACGTCAGTGTGTTCTCTGACCCAGCTCTGCCTGAGATGAAATTTTTCATGATCTTTTTATTTGCAAATTTCAATACAGAGTAGGAGGTCTCTGAAAATGCCTATTCTTAAAATAATAAAAATAAATAATAAGAAAATAAAAATGGTTCAACCTTCAAGAGTGTATTTATTATTAAGAGTCTTGTGCTCTACCAGCTGGCTAGCCCGATGGGTGAGAGTGCAGTTATTATTACATGAAAAGGTTCTCATTATTCTCAAGGGGGAAAGAAAAAAAAATCAAAGATCCAAAATAACAACTTTGGTTTCAGTTGTTTTCACTGATGACACCATTGTTGTTGTTGTAGTTACAGGGATTTAAATGACAATGTGGTACATCATCAGGATCTTTGGAAAGCAAATCTCAAAACATCCTACTGTGGTTTCAGTTCAGAAAACCATGAATGACACACTCTGTGTTAGAGAGGGAATGTTTTTTGACAGTGTTCTTTCCACTCTGTGATATGATGATCATTTTAATGAACTCTATGTCCCTGAGTCAGAGCTTAATGAGAACTCACTTGCTGAGTAGAAAAAAGGAAGCTACCGATCAGAACTGGACAAAGACACTTAAAAATTTTTATTATTAAACCTTCGCCTTCCAAGTATAACTGGAAGAGGACGTGTGGATTCTTCCTGTAGTTGTTGGATTGGAACACTATAGTCTCATGAGTATTTCTTTTAAATGGTTTATGATAGAAAATTTTAGATAATATTATGAAATTCCTTATCCATTGACCAATTTTAACAATGCTTAACTTTCTGCCAATTATATTTCATCTACCCTACATTTTTTTAGTGTTTTAAAGCAAATCCCAGCATATGTAAATACTTTGAAATGCTTCAATATGTACCTTTAACAGATAAGGACCTCAATTAAAAAAAAAAAACAAAAACTACACACAACTGTAGCCAGCAAAATGAACAATATCTCATAATATCATCTAACACAGATAATAGTCAATTTGCTCCAATTGTCTCAAAAATGCCTTTTTATCAGTTGGTGTGTTCAAATCAGGATTTAACAAGCTCTACACATTTTGTATGGTCGATACACTTCTTAAGTCTCTCTCCCTCCCCTCTCTCCTGCATTAAAAGTATTTTTTGTTATGAAAAATTTCAAACATACACAAATGTAGAGAGAACAGTGTAGAAAAGTCCCAAGTGCCCATCATGCAGTTTCAATAATTACTGATACATGGATGATCTTGTTTCATCTATACTCCCTTCCTTGCTTCTACTCCTACCCCTGATACTTTATTTTAAAACAAATTCCAGACTTTCTATAGTTTCAAAGGCAAATACTTCTGTATGCATTTCTAAGAGAAAAGGAATTAAACAACCACAAGGCCTTTGTCATAAATACAAAAATTAATGATTCCTTAATATCATCTAGCATCTAATAGGTGGATTTACAATTTCTCTGACTATCTTACAATGTCTTTTTTTTTTTTTTTTTTTTGAGACAGAGTCTCACTTCTGTTGCCCCTGGCTAGAGTGAATGCCGTGGCGTCAGCCTAGCTCACAGCAACCTCAAACTCCTGGGCTCAAGCGATCCTCCTGCCTCAGCCTCCCAAGTAGCTGGGACTACAGGCATGCGCCACCATGCCCGGCTAATTTTTTGTATATATATATATTTTTAGTTGGTCAATTAATTTCTTTCTATTTTTAGTAGAGACAGGGTCTCACTCAGGATGGTTTCGAACTTCCAACCTCGAGCAATCCGCCCGCCTCGGCCTCCCAGAGTGCTAGGATTACAGGTGTGAGCCACCGCGCCGGCCTACAATGTCTTTTTTAATCAGTTTCTTGCAATCGGGATTCAAACAAGGTCCACACGTGGCATTTGGGTGATCTGTACTATGGACTGAATTATGTCCCCACCAAATTCATGTAATGAAACCCCTAACCTCCAATGTGACTGTATTTGGAGATAGCACTTTTAAGGGGGTAATGAAGGTTAAAATGAGGTCATAAGCATGGGGTCCTAATCCCACACAATTGACGGACTTACATGACGAGGAAGAGAAGGAGAGCTCTCGCTCTTCCCAAGAGCATATACCATGTGGACACACAATAAGAAGGTGGCCGTCTGCAACCAGGAAGTGAGGCCTCACCAGCGTGGGGTGATCTCAGACTTCCAGCCTCCAGAATGGTGAGAAATAATTCCTGCTGTTTAAGCCACCCATTCCGTGGTATTTTGTTATGGCATCTGAGCTAATACAACACGCTTCTTAAGACTCTTACATTTTCCCACCATCATGCCCTTTTTAATGTCATTCATTTGTCAAAGAAACTGGGCCATTTGTCCTGTAGACATTTCCACATTCCAGATATGGCTGGCTGTGTCCTCCTGGTGTCATTTTACATGTTTTTCCATCCCTCTATTTCCTGTAAACAGGTAGATAGACCTTGAGTCTTTGTCTGATTCAGGTTCATTTTGGCAAGACTTCTTTAAAGGCAGCTTGGTGTGATTCCTATTATATCGTATCAGGAAAACGTGATGTCTGGTTTTTCCACCTTTAGTGATTTAAGTTGACGGGTTGGTGCCAGGTGTCAGCCTGATTCATCCATAGTAAAGATTCCTATCAACCTGTCACCTCATGGTTTTCACAAGCATTGATGTTCATTGCCTAGATCCATTAATCCAATAGGGATTTGGAAATGATGATTTCCTACTTCTGTCATTTCTTCTTCTTTTATTAGCTATGATCCTTCTGATCAAAAAGGAATTTCCCATATCAACTACTCAGTTACTCTGAAGCACAGCTGATACAGAAAAGATGAGGTAAGATCCTTTCCTTTTATCCACCAGCCTGTCAGGGGTTGGTGCCCTTGAAACTTGCATGAGTGAACACTGATTTGTTTTTTAATTATCATCATGTGAACTATTGGAGTTTTCACATTTGATGTGTTTCAATCTATTATGAATCTAACATGAACATCTTTTTGATGTTCACATTGACCCAACAACCATGGCCAGAGAGAATCCCTCGAAGTTAGCCTGTCTGTCCTTCTGCATGACTCCAGGGGTCTTTGACAATGCCTTTGTTTTCAGGCATAATAACGTGTCTAGCCTTATTGTAACAATTCCTGCTCCAAATCACACATCAGTTGTTTCTCCAAGGATCCCTGGTTTCTTTTAGCAAGAAATGATATTTAAAACCACATCTGGTGCCAGGGTTGCTCATTGCATCTGATTACTCATTGCTTTTAGGTCTGAGGAATAGCGTTGAAAAATTGAAAATGTCTTCAATAATGAAGGAAACTGTAAATAGCTCTTAGTAACTCAAGTAAATTGCTCAAAGGTTTTTGAAGAGATACTTTTTTTTAATTAAGAGAAAAAACAATAATGGAGAAAAAGGAGTATTAGTAGAAAATAAGTATTAGTAAAAAAAATCAAGCTATCAACTTGGACAGATAAATATTACAAAAAATGATGACGCAAATATTGAATTAAATATATATTTTGCTGAACATTGTATTTCTTTTAATGTTATTTTATTCTTTCTAATAATGGTGACTTTTTCAATATATAATAAAATATTTTTTAAGTATTTATACTTATTAGTAAAGACAGCTAAGTGAATGAATAACACTTAAAGATCAGGTTAGAGTTTTTTGTCAAACCCTGTGTTCTGATTTGGGGTTCAGAAATATGTCCAACTCTGGCAGAGAATGATATAGGAAACCATCACAGCTGGATTATTTGACCAGTAGCCCTGTTCCAATTCTCTACTCACCAATTACCCTCCTGATCATCATTTGACTTTTCCTACAAATTGCTTTATAGGGAAAGGAATTCATTGACCAATAGATCCAAATATTTCAATCTGCTAAGCAGTTACATTTCTTATGGCAAATTTATACATATGGGCATTTTGATTTATACACCTATTTTCTGTGACTTGGGTCAATGTGAGTCAATACTCTGAATCTCATTGACTGGATGAACAGGAAAAACTGAATTTCTGAACCTTCTCAGATCAAACTCTGGACTGACAACCCCACTAAATTCCACTCTTGTGGGAGGCCCTGCCTTCAAAGCCAGGCTACCTCTCTTTTTGAGATAGTCCATTATTTTTGTCCTTTTGGGAGTGGTTGTAGCCACCACCTAGAACACTGGATGGAGAATTAGCTTCATTTTCTTTGTTTCTAATCAGTTTGGCCTTAACTATGTGTGTTCTGTGTCCCTGCATTTCCAACCTCACTCCTCAATGGCTCTGCTGTGGTCTTCGCACTGCTTCCTTCAGTCTGGAGTCACCTGACACCACCTGCTACACACACTCCAACACAATCCCCTCCTAGTCACTTCCCAGGTCTCAGCTCAGTTACCACCTTCTTGGGGAAACTTTCCCCAGCACCGAGACTGGGTGATATGCTTCTGTTCCATGTTCCCATGGCATGCCGTGCCTTTCCTTCCCACACCCTGTCACCTGTTTGTAATTAAACATTTATTTGTGTGATAATTAGATTAGGGTTGAGAGACAGGGACCATCTCTCTGTGTGCACCTTTGTATCTTTTGTGCCTGTCATAGGACCTGGCATGACAGTAGGTGCCAATTACCAATGTCAGCCACTAAATGAGTGACTGACATCTAACCCAGAAAGAGCAGTGAATACAGTACACTAGGAAACCCACTCACAGGGGCCCACATGATGGGTGAACTGTATCTCACTCAGACTCTCCCCTTCTCTACCTGTAGCTCAGCACCCCTCCAACCAGGGCCGAGGCCAGAAGTTCATAAGCATCCTCAGCTCTACCAGCTGGCTTCTCCATGGGGCCTAACCCTTCGTGCTGGGTTAGTCACGTGCTGTGGGCTGGTATCTAGTGTGTTCTTGAGGTTTACTTCTGCCATGTTGGCCCCTGGTTTCTGACCAAGTTCCCTCCTTAAATCCAGTTTTATTCCATGACAGGTACCCTGCCCCAAAGGCCAGCCTACCTGATGCTCCGCTCAGGATCCACTGTTCTGCCCCCTCCAGGGGACTGATCCGCTGTCATGTGACTTAGGTTTTAGCCTGCCACTTATTTGCTGTACGATCTTGAACATACTGCCTCAGCTCTCTGAGCCTTAGTTTCCCTAATTAAAATACTGCACAGTGCTGATAGCATGTTCTTCTACTACCATGCCAGGGTGCTTAAGGAGCTAAATATAAACGGATACTACAGACAGCAGCACTTCTTCGCTGAAAGTAAAAAAAAAAAGAGAACTTGGCCAGTCTAGATTTGGGGAAAGCATTCCTAAAGTGGTGACATTTGAGGCGAGAGCTGAAGGACAAATAGGAGGTGCAAGGTGTAAGGTGGCCCCACAATGATAACTTAATTCATTTCAACAGGCATTTCATGGAACAATTTCAGTTTCTGGAATTGGGTTATTAGTGAATCTGGGGAAAGCAGAAAGGCACCATATGTTCCTTCTTCATGCTGCCGACATCTGAGCTCTAGGGACCACATGTACGTGCCCAGGCCAGTGGTTCTCACCCGTGAGTGATCCTGCCTCGCAAAAGGGAGAAAATCTGGAGACATTTTCCCACTGATGTCTAGTGGGTAGAGGCCAAGGACGCTGTTTAACATCCCACCACGCACAGGACAGCCCCGGAGACAAGTGTAAATAAAGTGTTAAGGTTGAGGTACTCTGACATAGTCAAAGCAATTAGCCAAAAATGCAACACTGAAGGCCAAGGACAAAATAATGGCTACAGACATTTCCACTCCTTAAGAATTCTGCTCATTTTCAAGACTCATCTCCAATATTATCTTACCCTTGAAGCCATCCTCGGTTCCCCTAGTCAGCCTTCCTAGAGCTGAGCGTGGCCTCCAAGGTGGGCACACTTGGGTTCACAACCCAGGTGCACCGACGGTTGGCTGGGTGACGTTGGGCAGGTCTCTGTGCCTCTCTAAGCCTCTGCTTTCTCAGCCATAAAACAGAGATAATAACACACCTACCAGAGAGTGTTTGGGTGGTGATCACAAATTTAAAACGGGGTAATTTGGCTAATTTCACCCTGTACCAGGTTTGTCTACTTGTACCAAGTATTGCTGCAAATACTTAACATATTTTAATCCATTTAATTCTCCTAATAGCTGTTAAGGGGTGAATATTTGCATCCCCCAAAATTCATATGTTGAAAGCCCTAACCCCTAATGTGATGGTATTTGGAGTTGGGACTTTGGGGAGGTAATTGGGTTTAGATGAAGTCATGAGAGTGGAGCCCCCATGATGAGATTAATGTCCATATAAGAAAAGTAAGAGATACCAGAACTCTCTCTCTCTCTCTCTCTCTCTCTCTCTCTCTCTTTCTCTCTCTCTCATGTGAGAATTCAGCAAGAAGGTGACCAACTGCAAATCAGGAAGACAGCCCACACCAGACACCAAATCTTGGACCTCCAGCACCTTGATCTTGGACTTCCAGTCTCCAGAACTGAGAGAAATTAACGTTTTTTGTTTTCTTTTTAAGGCACCCAGTCTATGGTATCTTGTGTAGCAGCATGGACTAAGACAACAGCCTCATGAAATGGGGACAATTTTTACATCTTTTTTTACAAGTATGACCCTGAGAGCAAGAGAGGTTGCTTGTTTTCTAATGTCTAGCTGAGAGGCATCCAGGATTACAGGCGTGACTCATCCGTCTGTTCTTTCAGTAGCCTTTTTGAGCACTTACTGTTTCTCAAGGACTTTGCTAAGGACCGGGGAAATACAATCAAATGACACTCTTCAAGTTCTCCTCACCATCTAGTCAGGAAGAGATGCAAATATTAATACATCAGTGATCACAGGATCGTGTGGTAGATTCAAAGATACACCCCAAAGCTGTGTCTTTGGGGTGCAGCTGTGGGGTCACAGAGGAGGGAGATGTAGGTCAGAGGAGGAGGAGAGGAGCCGGAATCCCAGCTCTGCCACTTCCGGAGGTTTCAGCCTTGTGCAAACTGCTTAACCTCTCTAAGCTCTGCTTTCCTCGTCTGAAATAAGGAGATAACTCTGGCTGGCAACCTGTGAGGAGGATTAAATTGAATGGTGTATGGGGAAGCGACTCCCAAAAATGACAAGAGTGAGAGCCCCGGGGCGTCGTGGAGCTGGGAGGGCTTCATGGAAGAGCAGATGTGTGTTCGGTTCGGAGAGGAGGAGGGGCTGCTCCAAGCTGTGACGACAGCACCTGGGTGGAGGGCTGTGGCTCTTCAAGATTCAGTTGTGAACGAGTAGTCCAGAGTTGAATTTGCCTGTTACGAATGGACACGGCCTGATGTGGCCTCCGCTGCACCATGCATCGGATTTTGCCCCAGGCCCACACTTCCCTCTGCCCAGCAGCTGTGGTGACCCAGGAGGCCTTCTAAAATGGTTGAATGACAAGGAAGAAGGTGACAAATGGTTGGGTACAAGAAAAAAAAAAATGATTTCAGGTCTCTGGAGCACCAGTGGGGCCCCACGTTGCCCTCTGGTGCCTGGCTGTCTGAGTCTAGCCCCCTGCAAGGCAGCCCTGCGTGAACCTGCGTGTGTCCAGCTTTCTTTCCCGCAGAGAGAAATGGGGTGGGCTGGCTGCCCACGGTGGAATTTTGCCTGGCTTGTAACTCAGGAGAAAGTCTGGGCTTCGGCACAGCCGCCGACTAGCTGCATGACTCTGGCCAATGGTTAGATGCCGCTCAACTTTCTTTTCTTGTCTCTGACCTGGCTCCAGCATTACCTATTTTGAATGTCTGTTTTAAGCACTAGAGATAATCTACATACAAGACCTGATGCAGAGCCCAATGCATAGTTGTTATTTCATAAAATGGTAGCTATTGCTGCTAAA